AAAGTGTTTTCATCTCTCCCAGCCCAAGCAAGGAGGCAAAGGTGTTTGTTAGGACCCCGGGGGAAGAGGTCCCTCTAGTCTGTCAAGGTAACTGGAAAAGGGGGGATGCGCGGGGGTCGGGGGGGGGCGGGCGTAGAATAACAGGGAGGAATTTAGAAAGAGCCAAGACAGCCAGGGAAAAGAGAAAGAAAGAAATAGTAGACAAGACAGCAAATTAAAAACTAAAACCCACGAGGAAACAAGAGAAGCAAGGGCTGGGTGATAGAGAGAGAGAAATGGAACATGAGATCCACGAGGAGGATGAGAAAAACAGGGTCATGCAAGGAAATGTAGAGAAAGCTCACATGTGTGCAATTCAAAGAACTCAGAGTGGACAGGAACAGAGACAGGAGATAAAGAGGGAGAGAGGAAAGAAAGAAAGAAAGAAAGAAAGAAAGAAAGAAAGAAAGAAAGAAAGGAGGGAGGGAGGGAAGGAAGGAAGGAAAAGAAAGAAAGAAAGAAAGAAAGAAAGAAAGAAAGAAAGAAAGAAAAGAAGGAAGGAGAAAAAGGAGAGGGAAGAGAGGAAGAGAGAGGGAGGGAGAGAGGGAGGAAGGGAAAAACAGAGAAGCTAGAGGGAGGGAAGGGAAAGTGAGGTGGTATTTTCTGCCTTGACAAAGTGTCAAGAAAACTAATGTGCCCCTTCTCAAAGGGACCAAGCCCCCAGCCCAGAGAGAACCAAGCTCTTCCAACAAGTTTGGGGAAACCAAAGATAAGGGAGACCTTGAATCCAGGCTTCTTCTAAGACGAAGTGTGCAGCTGAAGTGGACAGGAGCCCTCAAGAGTGTATAAGTGGTGCTAGTGGGGAGGAGACCTGAAGGGTTAAGGTAGTCCAGATGTCCAAAGAGACCAGGCTGGACCATAAGGCTTACCATAAGGAAACCTCTTCTCCCCACGGGAGAATGGAAAAGGAGGCTGAGACCCCAGGATCAAATCAGCCAGGGCATCAGGGCCCCAAAGAGCCATTTCCACCCTGCCAGACTACCAAGAACTCCTTCCCCCCGTAAAGTTAATAATCTTGACTTCTTCCAATTTCATAATCAGGCCTCGGACCCCCAGGAGAAGCTCCTTGCTCTCCTGTCAACAAGACGTCCAATGTAGCGACACCTCGGACTGAATAAAGCTGCGCGGTGAACGGGAGGGCGAATGTTTAAGAGTGTAACAGTGTCTCTCACCCGAGTCCCGCCAGACCTCACGCAAGCACAGCAGAAGTTACCGAAGCCAACCACCCCCGCCCACACCCTCCCATTTCCCTCGCCACTCCGTGGTGTGTGTATGTGTGTGTGTGTGTGTGTGTGTGTGTAAAATTCAGATAAACACCATCCGGTCACAAAGGGTCAGTGTGTCCCCTTTAGAGTGTGAGGCGGGAGGTGCCACAGGGAAAATGGAATATTGCAGAGACGCCTTCCTATTTCTGGGGCTTGCTAATGCCTGCCGCCGGGACAGTTGGCTGAGGCGTGTGATCCCTGTCTCCCCCCCCCCCCGCCCCAACACACACACTTTGATGCCCCGTATCTCCTCTTTTGCCTCAAAAGCTGCAAAGTTTTTTATCTTGTTCAAAATCCCAGTCCCTGTAGTGCAAAGGCGGAAAAAAAAAAAGAAAGAAAAAAAAAAAAAAAACCTTCCTATCGCTAAAGGCGGGGGGACATTTCTTCTAGGGACACCGGATTCCATTCTTTCAGCAGGTCTGTAGGAAAAGACTGGCTAAATTTAATCAAGGAGTCCAGAAAGAGAATGAGCCGGCACCGGGGGTCAGCAGCTGGAGGCTCACGAGGGGGCTCAAGGCGCGCTAACCTTGTGGCTTCTCTGGGAGGCCAGGCCTGCCATAAGCCTGAGGAAGGCGCTGGCCAATGTTTAACCCTAATGCAGTGGCCACCAGGCCCCTTTTGTTTGTTCGCAAATTAATCACCCAGCGCACGGCCGGCGCCAGAGTGGGTTTATCACCCACTAGGAGGGGGGCGCGGCGGCACGCAAAGACGAAGAGGAGTTCGCACCTTCCGGCTTTTGATCCTTCCATCGCCGCGGCCTCCCTAACAGAACACGAGCCTCCAGGGGCAGCGTCTGGGAGGTCAGTCGTAATTGGCGGAAGTTTGTAGACCATTAGCAACGTGTAGACATTTTCGATTCAGAATCCCGCAAACTTTCCTCCACACCCTCCCCCGCCCCCCCCCCACCCTCCTTTCCCTAGCGCACTGGAGTGAGGGGTGGAAGCCAGAAGCGGCAAACTGGGGTGACCCCAGGGTTAAGTTAGAGCTACAGTCAAAAAATAGGCGACTGAAGGGTGTTTGTGTGGGGGGTGACGTGAGGGTCAGAAATTGCTCTGGGTCCACGCCGGAGCCAAAAACACAAGGCCAGATATTTGCATGGAAAGTCAGCGAGCTCGCCTCGCGTTTGCAGGGCAGACCCCCGAGGCCAGAAGGCTGGGTATCCGTTGCCAAGGTCTCTCTGGCTAGCCCGTGGAACCTTAGGGCACCGCGTGGGTGACCAGGAAGGGTCAAACACACCACAGTTGCACAACTATTTTCCTGCACTCCACGCGGGCGCACCGAGATTAGCCCTCCAAAGGAGGCAAAGCGGATCTCTGGGTTCTAGGGGCTGCTGGGGCTAGAGTGGCCAGGCGCGGAGGGGGAGGGGAGCCTTCTGCTTGCAGAGAATCAGCGGTGACCTCGGTGGCCCGTGCGGAGAGGGGCCTGGCCTGGCCTCTTGCGCCCTCGGTGATCTGGAACAGGAGACCGGGGAAGGGGTGTTATGAGCCACCGCCTGGGGTATCACCTCTTCTTTCGTTTCTCCCCTCTCTCCCTTCCTTCTCGACCGTTGGACACAGGAGACAGACCCGCTAAGATGGGGAAAGAAAGGGGCGAGATGGCGAGTCGGACCAAGTTCACAGAACGACTCTGTTCTCATTGGCCGCATCAGGAAAACTCAGGGCTGGCGCCGAACGCTCTTAACCTTGTACATCAAAACATGCGAGACTGGAAAAGCTCGTGGCCTCAGATGTTCTTCCCTATCTGGGAGAGGGAACTGCCTATTCACCCAGTAGCTGCCAGTTCGGACCTGCAGTTGGAGAGGGTGTGTTGGGATAGGGGGATCCTCAAGGGAAAAATCTAGGTGCAAAAGGTCCACAGGGAAAAAAAAAACACTCAAAGCTTAATCTCTAGGCCCGGAAACCAGCCCTTTTTCTGTTCCCTCTCCAGGCAAAAAAGGTCTTGTCCCAGGAAAACGAAAAAAAAAATGTGCAAAGATTGCCCTCTACTTAAACTGGGGTGGCCCAGCTCCTCCACCTTCAAGGACTATGGGTTTGGCGGGGACTCCTCTGACCCCAGCAAGGGTTGCCGTAACAGGGTTACTGGATCAAAGTCCCAGCAGTCAGTTTGCCTTCCTCCCCACCCTGGGATGAGCAGGGACCGAGTCTCCCGACCTCTGGGGTAGAGGGGTGCGTTTCACGGTTTGTTTTACAAATTCGCCCCCAACTTCTGCTAAGATAAGTCCCCGGGGTGGAGAAGGAATTGAGACACCAAGAGATAAGTGCGATGCCTAGGGAAGATACCAGACTGATGCACCTCCCCCAACCAACTCTCCTCACCCAGGTCGGCAGCTCCCCGCCGAGCTGGCCCGGAGGTGTGGACAGGCTTGAAGAAGTCAGGCCTGCAGTCCCTGCACTCACTTGTTCCAGCGGCTTCGTTCTCTCTACACCCACACCCCCATCCGGGTGGAACACTGGTATCCGCATTCGAATGGAAGAGGACTGGGCTCAAAAGGGTCAGTAAATACATTTTTAAAAAACGAAAGAAAAACAAACAAAAAACCGTAGTCCATATAGCAGAGCGAGTTTAGATTGGGCCGGGCACGCAGGCCTTGTACGTGTTTGCGTGTGTTTTTCCGCGTGGGACTCGGTCCCAGTGTGTGGGCGCGGGTTCAGGTACAGATACCCAGGGGGCGGTGTGGGTCTCTGCACGTGCCTGCGGCTGGGGAGCACGCTCCGGGGAGAGAGGAAGATTTGTGGGATCCCATGCGCCCGTAGCTTGGGAACCCGGAGTACCCCGGCGCGCGAGCTAAAGGACTCGACTTAGAGGCGGCTGGGCGTCTCCACGTGGGGCTGCAGAGCTGCGCAAGCCTGGAGCTTTTGTTCACGCGCATTGGCCGAATGGGAGGCTCCGCGGCCGGCTTGGCTAGCCCGGGGCCCGGCAAAGGGAAGAAGCTGCAGATCTGCACAGAGAAGCGGCCGCGGGCTTGAGCTGCAGCGCTCCGAGCGCGCGAGAGGCGAGCGCCCCTGCTCGGCGCCTCGGTTGCCGGGCAGGCTGCCTGACTCCCGCCCTCGCTCCCTCCCCCTTCCTCCCTAGCCCTGCCTCCTCCCCGGATCCCCGGGGCTTGGATGGCTGAGGCCTTTCAGACTTGGGCTGAGCTGAGAAGGAGCCGGGGCGAGCTCCTCTGGCTGCTGAGAACTCTCTTCTGGAACAGCCACCTAGAGGCGACTTTGGTGCGCGCGCGGCGCCCTGGTGGCTCCCCGCCCTCCCCTCTGATCATGTTGACATAAACGCAGGACAGGCCGTAGTACCGCGCTGCGCAGCGACGTTCCAGTTTCCGACACCTTCTTTTTATAACTCGGCTCTATTCCCCCAGCACTCGACCTGTGAAAACCACGCCTATGCAGCCACACAATTGGTCCGAAAGCGTCAAAGAGCCAATCAACAAGCCTCGGGCTCCCGCAGCCCACAGCGCAGCCCGACCGTCCAGAGCCGCCGAGCAGACGCCCGGGGAATTCTAGAGGCGGAGGAGGGTGGCGAGGTGCTCGCTCACTCTCTTTCTCTCTCCCTCCCTCTACTCGCCCTACTCCAGCTCCCAATCACTCCTCCTTTCCTATTTTTTTTTTTTTTGTACCCGTTTTCTCGATCCTCGCTCGCCCTGCGCTCCCGGACGCTGATTTTTTTTTAATTTATTATTTTTAGGAAAGCGATTTCGCTCACGTTTTTTTTAGCATAAGGAAGACAGCCGAGTCCCGGAGGCAGAAGATCGCCGGCACTCTTCCGATCACCACCCAGACACTGCGCGCAGCTCGGAGCCAGAGAGAAGAGGAGGAGCGCGAACCGAAGCCAGCTTCGTAGTTACGAGTTTTGATAACGTCGCTGGAAAGGGGCTTAAATCAGTTTTTTTTTTTTTTAAAGGAGAGACTTTTCCTCCCCCTTGATCTCGCTGCCTGTGAAAGCAAGAGTCTCTGTAGCTCAACTAAGACGCCTCCTGCGAGAAAGCCAGAGAAGAGCTAGGGGGCGGGGGAAGGAGACGAAAAAAAGGTTTAAAAAAAAAAGTCTCGGAGAACCTTGCGCTTTGGCAACAAAGAGCGTGGGAGCCGGGAGCCACCCCGGGAAAAGGCTGTGTGTCTATTTCCAGCTAAGCCACAGGGCTCGGGCGCCGGTCGAGCCCCTGCTCGCTCGCTGCTCGCCCTACGGAAACCGACTTCCAGGAGCGGCTTTTCAAACACACTCCACGCGCCAGGACAGCCCCTGCAGCGGCAATGTTTCCCGAGCTGTCGCCTCCGTGCCCTCTTTAAAAGCCGCGTTCTCTTCCCCCAAAGACACTTCCCCCTTCCCTTTCAAAGGCTTTAGTCCTGATTTGTCCCCCCCCCTTTTTTTTTTAAATTTTAAACAAAACAAAACTATGTGTTGCTGTTGATTTTTTTTTTTATTGTTTTTGAAAAGCAAACACAAAAGCGGAGCCAAGCCAGCAGCTGCGGACTGGTTCCCTGTCTGGAGTGGATGAGCCTCTCCATGAGAGATCCGGTTATCCCTGGGACAAGCATGGCCTATCATCCGTTCCTACCTCACCGGGCGCCGGACTTCGCCATGAGCGCGGTGCTGGGCCACCAGCCGCCTTTCTTCCCCGCGCTAACGCTGCCTCCCAACGGCGCCGCAGCGCTTTCCCTGCCGGGAGCCCTGGCCAAGCCCATCATGGATCAGTTGGTGGGGGCCGCGGAGACCGGCATTCCTTTCTCATCCCTGGGACCCCAGGCACATCTGAGGCCTCTGAAGACCATGGAACCCGAAGAGGACGTGGAAGACGACCCCAAAGTGCACCTGGAGGCCAAGGAACTTTGGGACCAGTTTCACAAGCGGGGTACAGAGATGGTCATTACGAAGTCGGGAAGGTAAGAAATCAGTGGGGATCCCCCCTCCCCAAACGAGCTAAAGTTTTTCATGTCTTTTGTCTGTCTCTGAAAACCGTAGATTCTGCCTGGTTGTTACGTTTGGGACGAAAACTTCCTCTCCCCTGACCCCTCCACCCCCACAAAAAAAACTCTAGAGACTCCTGGGCCCTGCCTGAGGATCAGGATATTTCAGCCTACCTGGGCCCACTGCAGGGTTCTTGGGGACCTGTATCCGGAGTTCCCTACAGGAAAGAGGGTGTTTTCCTTTGAAAGAGACGCACACTGACTTCTGCAGCAATCGAGAAAAGCACCCTGTTGCAGAAATCCCGTTTGTAAAGCCATTCTGAAATATCTTTATTTCTGTTTTTTTTTTTTTTTGTTTTTTTTTTTTTTTTTTGTCTGTTTGGTTGTATTTCCCAGGACAGACACTTTCAGCCCCTCTTGTACGGTTTCTCCGGCCTCTTCTCTCCTTCAGTTTAGTTACTGGCGCTGAAGGGGGCCTAAACCTGCCTGGTCTGGGACAGAGAGAAATCAATGGAAGGGCGAAGGACGATTGGGCTTCTTTTCCCATTGCCGTCTAGCAGGTCTGCAAGTCCAGGGAGAACCGAGCAGGCACTCTCGATAATTAAGGTTATGTGTGTAGACCCAAGGAACCGAGGAGGTTGTGTACCCTGTTTTTGTGTTTGAATATTAATACTTTACATAACGTTTGGTGTCCTTGCCTGACCGAAACAAGCTTCTAAGAGAGGACCCCAGGACCAGCATTTAAAACCACTGTTTGAGAAAAAAGAAAATGTCTGTAGCATTGAGGTTTATCAATAAGGATACCAGTTGAGAGGGCATGAAAATACCCCCCCCCCCCACACACACACACACTTATCCGTCTCCCTCCAAACTACTTGAGGCCGAAGTTTGGCCTCAGATCTTCCTCCAACCCACAAGACATTTAGTTGGTTTTCATAACTGAGTACTTCCTTTTAAGTCAAAAGTACAGAAAGCCAGCACTTCTGTGAGATTAAACAGCAGGATCTTGCAGTGGCCTACGGAGTAGAGGAATGCGGTTTATAGCTTAAATCCACGGATGGGTTACCAGGCCCGGGTGCTTGCCTGCCTCCAACCTCCGTTCTGAGAACTCACTGTAATACTCTGCCAGCCTCGGGCTTACCCGTTCACGCCAAAACTGGGTATTTATTTCCTCGATAAGCTTTAATGTTTTCTCACCAGTGGGAGAGTGGAAAAGCCTAACCTTCATTAACCACTGTTTCTTAAAGCCCTACTTACCTCTAGCTGTTTCAAACTAGATACACTGAGAAAGAAAGAAAAAAAAAAAACTTAGGTAAGAATTCATTCCTCTTAACTGAGGGCAATCCAAACAGCCACACAGGCAAACGTGTTTTTGTTTTTTTTAAAGAAATAGTCGTCCTTTTAGAGACAAGAGGTTGCTGTAATTAATTTGACTTGAGGCTTGGGATAGAAAAACAATGGGAAATTGAGCGTTTTTAATGTCAGTGTGGAAGCAAACAGTTTGACTCAGAGTTGCCTTACAGACTCCCTGGTCCCGGCAGAAAGCCTTATGCTTTTAGATGGTGCCAAACAACTTGGAAGACAAGTCCCAGGTCCTGAGCCATTTACCCCACGTTATTTATCTATTTCCCTTTTTTGTGTGTGCTTTGCTCTCTGTAGGAGAATGTTCCCTCCATTTAAAGTGAGGTGCTCTGGGCTGGATAAAAAAGCCAAGTATATTTTACTGATGGACATTATAGCTGCTGATGACTGTCGATACAAATTTCACAATTCTCGGTGGATGGTGGCCGGTAAGGCCGACCCCGAAATGCCAAAGAGAATGTACATACACCCGGACAGCCCCGCCACAGGGGAGCAGTGGATGTCCAAAGTCGTCACTTTCCACAAACTGAAACTCACCAACAACATATCGGATAAACACGGATTTGTAAGTTTCATTGACTATCAGTAAGACTCTCCGGGGAAGTATGGCTTCCTGGTAAACTGAATTTGGGCCCAGACTCCTCTTTGGCTGCTGGTTGCCACACATAGCCAACTTTGTTCAATTTGCAACCTAGTTGCAGAGTGGATTTCGGGATTGGGGGGATTGGGGGGGTGTTGCTTCCTGGATAATGGGAGGCCTGACATTCTAGAAGAATTTACCGGAATAGCAATAGGTGTCCTGGGTGGGTGCTGAACCTGGACGTGTAGAGTAATACCAGGAATAAAAAGTTATGAATCAATTTTTAAAGTTTTGTACTTGGACAGGGTTCGTTTTGCTTAGAAATATTATTTTATTTCTTTGAAATCAGCCATGCCTTATCTTGGGCGAGTTGAATGTTCGAAGCCTTTACTGTGTTGGTCCAAGGCTGTGACTACATTTTTAAAAGTGTATCTTCTTTTGCTGAAAGTGATCTGGGCTTGGGTGAAAGTCAGGTGTAATCGGAACAAGCTTCAATCTGTGGTGTTAAGAAAGAAACGGTGTGTGTGTCCTGGGGAATGCATGTGGATTCCGTGAGTGAATGTGCTTAGAGACTTTAAGGATAGACTTGGGTCGCCTGTGAAAGTCAGGCCAGGGGACCTTTGCCTGTCCTCTGCCCCTCCCCAGCATTTCAATAGAATAAACAAAGTGATAAGCGAGGGATAAGCAGAAAGATTAGGCCCAGGAAGACTCGAATGGTTCGGAAATATCTAAAGCGGACAGGGATTGCATTTGAAGCCCTTGATTTGATTAGGGCATAAATATTCCTCTCTAGAGCGCAGCCTCTCAAGGCCTTAAGTGGATTGGGCTTGTCAATTAGTGGGCGCTTAAAAGTACTGAATCATTTTGTAAATTAAAATGCATGTTTTTCTCTATCTTTTAAGACTTTGGCCTTCCCAAGCGATCACGCAACGTGGCAGGGGAATTATAGTTTTGGGACCCAGGTAGGCTAGGGTTCAAGGTACGAATGAATATGTAGATGGTGAGGGTGGGGTGGGGGGGCGCTCTGTTTTAGAAGCTGAGGAACAATTTGAAAGTCTCCAGAAGATAGAGCCTGTGGTGTGAAATGTACCCAAGGAGGTGGGGCTTTGGACCCAACAGTGGGGACGATGTCGGCTTGGCAGGGGACCTGAGATCTCATTTGTCCCTGTTAAATCATTTTCCTTCTTTCTTTTAATGTGCGTGTGTCGTTGTCGTACCCCCCTCCCCCACTCTACAGACCATACTCAACTCTATGCATAAGTACCAGCCCCGGTTCCACATCGTCAGAGCCAATGATATTTTGAAGCTGCCTTATAGTACATTTCGCACATACCTGTTCCCGGAAACGGAATTCATTGCCGTGACTGCCTACCAAAATGACAAGGTAACCCACAGGGCATTTTCCTCTACCCCTTTAAGCTTGCTTGCTATCAATGAGAAAGTTATTAGGGCATTTGGGCAGAAAGTCTGGAATTTCATTGTGTGATTTGACCTTCTAGGGGGAGAGAAGGCTGATTCCTGAGGCGGGGGGGTGGGGGGGGGTGGGGGGTGAGGGTGGGGGGTGGGGGGGAATGACAAAACTCTCCTCTCAGCTGGGACTCTTAAACTTGTATTAAACTGCTATTCCAGTCCCTGCTGGAGCCCCAGGGGCTTGTCTCCTAATGTTCCCTAGTTCATCGTCTTCAGGAGGAAGGATTAAAAAAAAAAAAAAAAAAAAAAAATCAGTACTGAAAGGAACCAGGTAGCAATTTAAGATGAACAGTGTCTAGGACTCTGAGTAGAGATGGGAGCTCATCTCAGCCAGAAATCCTGAATACATGATTGGTTTTAATTACTTTTGCTGTTGCTGCTGGTGGTGGTGGTGGTGGTGGTGATGATGGTGTGTAAAGATGCACTCTAATACAGGGTTATGTTAATTGAGCTGTCTGAGGCTTCCCACTTAAAGGTGGGAATAGTCACTAGCTC